ATATATATGCATATATATCAAAAGTTATATTTAAAAAATCTTTTAACATTCTGATTAGATTGCTTTTTTATTGGCAACCACAATGATTTTCCACAGATGTTCGCCAATAGCCAGTAATATATCTTATGTGATTGTTTTGATGAAATAAAACTAATACGTTATCAGTATTAGTAATAACCGTTCGTGATAATAATAAATGAATCAAGTATAATTATTGTATATCGTATTCTAATTGTTGAATTGAATGATAAAAGTGAGAATATATTTCGCATAAAATTTTGGTCACGATAACAATGGGGAATGTAAGATAAAATAAATATAGCTTCAAGAAAGATATTACAAAAAGTAAATTATTTATCGTACGAATGTTCAGATTATTCGTGTACGCGAACAAATTGTCTAAATAAAAGTTTAAAGGAGTAATTATAAAATAACAAACTTGTTGAAAGCAAATTAGATAAAAGTTGCTACTAATCATAGGAAAAACCATGAAATTATAATTATAAATTTCAGATTTAAAAAAATTTAATTAATCAACCGGAAAGTATGTTTAATGTGCAGTAATATTTTCAATATACGACAGTAGTTTCCTTGAAGAACAATGTGTCGTATTAAGCCTGCGCACACGAGGCTTTTTTTCTTGCATTGCTTGCATACTACTGTGTTGGCTGCTATGCTAAAAACTGTGTAGTCTGCTGGCCACGCTGCTGATTAGTCTGCTGGATTTTCGTGACGAGTCAGATGCTATTTTTCTTGCATGATTTTGTGCTAGCTCATTGTGGAAGCCAAGGGAACAGGTTTAGATCACGTTCTTTTCGGCAATAATTAAAAACAATGCAATTATACTTTCACGACAATGTATTACAGTAGCAACGATGTGTTCCATGTTTACTTATTCAGATATTTCCGTCAAGAGCCTTCTGCCAAACAAATTTCGGCTGCTCAGTCAGCACGAAAACTCGTACTGTCCGAATCCAACTAGCAACACGGCCAGCAGCATTGTCAGCACCGCTGCCAACATGATAGTAAGCACGCAAATTCAATTCACAAGGAAAAAAGCATCATGTACCGTAAGTTTTAAATATGCGAAAAATGTGAACCGCAATTTAAATATTCAATATCCAAGAATGGATTAACACGAAGATTTCTTAACTATATATTGTTTAAGCGCAATATTCTTGAGAATTTCACAATCAACGATCGTGGCATTCGTTTATCGTCGTTATTACTATTTACAACGTTTAACATGTCTAAGAGATTAGCGCATTTGGGATACGAGATGTGTTTCTTGGAATGTATTCGCCTGTTATATTTTAAAAAATTGATTCGCATCACGCTAGAAATCGATAATGCAACGTGCTTTGCATAAATTAAGATAGCAACGTATGACAACGTGTCGTTAAAATAAACGACAAGAATAAAAATGCGAAAAAAACATGCCACGTCATTGAAAAAAGAATTCTACATAGAATGTTTCAAAATGATGAGATCGGTCTCTATGTAAAAGAATGTTTTAATTAACATATCAGCGAAACTCTGTCTAACCATATGCAATAAAAAATATACGATGCGTAACTTGAATGTTGAAATAATTGAGTTTTTTTTTAATAATTAAATAATTTTCGCGCTAAAATTTTGTATTTGATCGGTTCTGATTATAAATTTGTCCAGAGAAAAAAAGGGGGAAAGGATGATGGAAGAAAGGAGGAAGAGAGGGAAAAGAAAAGAGAGAAAGAGAAAGAAGAGAAAAATTATAACAGATATTTATGTGTAGAAATCGGTATCATTTATACTATAAATAGTATACCATTTTTTATTACAAGGAGAGGACGCGACGTGATAATAATCGATTGCGATAAAACTCGTTGTAGCGATAGGTCTGCATGTTAAGTGATACTGGATAAAAGGATATAATGCGCTTCTCAAGCGTTTGTGAGAAAATCGATTAAAAAGTTTGCCGAATATTAGTCTTCAATAATTTTTTTACTTAAATACTATTAACTTTAGAGAAAAACTGCAAGAGACAAAAATCATTTATTTTCTTCTCATAGAACTTTAAGAATTTTTTTAGAATTTTTTATTAACTTTTTTTCGCCGTATGAAAACATGATATTAAAAAATTCTAAAAAAGTTCTGAAAAAATTCTCAGAACTTTATGAGAAGAAAATAAACAATTTTTGTCTCTCGCTGTTTTTCTGTAAAGTAGTATTTGAGTAAAAAATTATTGAAAACCAATTATCAATGATTTTTAGTAATTTTTAATCGATTTTCTCACAAACGCTTGAGAAGTGCATTATATCCCTTTACCCAGTACCACTTGACATACAGACCTATCGTTACAACGAGTTTCGTCACAACCGATTATTATCACGTCGCGTCCTCTCCTTGTTAATCGATATCCTTTTAAACTACAAAGCGATATATGAACAGTATTTCAGTGTACGTGTACTTACTTTATACCTCACTGAAATATTTCTCTCGCTTAGAGAATCTGTAAGTTTCCCATAATTCTTTATGTGCGTAAATCAATTTTCCCGTATAATTGAATTAATAATTATATTATTTTAAATGAAACTCAATTGATTCAACATTTCGTTACGATTGTTATATAGCAAATAACAAAAAAATTACGGCCACTTAAGACACTACGATTAATTTACTTATATATAAATGTTCGATATACATGAATGTAATCGCATTACATTCTCGTAAATATGTTGTAAAAACCTGTATGTAGTTCTCAATGATATCACTTCGATATCGAGCAATCTAGTCATATAACTCTCTCAAACTCTTCTGTTTCACCTCGATTTTTTTCTGTTTCCTTTCGGTTTTGAGAGCTCGGTTTTGTATCTTTTATCTCTTCTTTATTATCTTCTTTATCTCTTATTCAGTTCTGTTCTTACGGCTGGAAATGTAAAATATCTCATATAAAGCACAAAAACTTTTGCACTTATATCTTATAAATCGCGAAAAATTTTGCATAACTGCAATAATATTCCATACCATCGATTATTTCTTGTTTCATCTTCTGAAATTCTTTCCGTACTTCTTTAATTATCTCCATCTTAAAGGCCTCCATCTCTTGCGCGGTGAGCGAAGTTCCATCGTTAACACCGTTTACTTTGAGAAGAGTATCCTCCGAAGCTGAACCAAATCTCTTGCGAACCGATTTCGGTGACTCGGCGCCATTAGAAAACTTATTATTAGACGCATTGTTTTTGTCCCAAGATTTCTTGTCTGGCGAACTTTCCGGTTCCTGTAAAAAGAATCGTTTAGCGCTTTTTCCCCCTCTCTCTCTCTCTCTCTCTCTCTCTCTCTCTCTCTCTCTCTCTCTCTCTCCCCTTTCTTTCATTTTTTTTCATGATTATAATTATATTATATTTTATTGTATGCATTCTTTTAATCGTAAAAATGTACTCTTACCTAAATTATTCTAACATTTGTATGGTTTAAGTTTTTATTGCTTGAGAGGATGCCATCCTAGAGTGCGTAATAAATTAATTTATCTATTTCTCTCTTGCCGATTTTTCGACTCCGATTTGTCGATTTCTGAATGTCCAAGTTATGTGTTACAATAAATGTTTACCGGTGGTTGTTCGGGTTGTTTCTTCTCGGCGGCAGCCCTTCGGCGTGCTAGAGTCTTAGCCATCTCATCCATCATGGAAGCCATTCCACCGCCTCCACCTCTCCCTAAGGTGCCATAATTGCCGCCTCCTCCACCACTGCTACTACTACTGGTACTCGAGCCGCTGTTCTCCACTGGTTGTGACTGTTGCTATTGATAAAAAAGTTTATCCTACTTATGTGTTTTATACAAACATGTTAATTTAATATACAGGGTGTTTGATAATTAATAAAAAATCTTTTGCATAGGGGTAAATTAGACTAAACTGAAAAGAAAAGTCCTTTGCCATTTTACAATTTTCGTAATAGTTAACAAGATATTAATTACTAAAAATTATCGAAAATTATTCTTCAATAATTTTTTACTCAAATACTACCAGCTTTACAGAAAACCTGCAAGAGACAAAAATTGTTTACTATATTCTCATAGAGCTCTAAGAATTTTTTCAGAATTTTTTATCAACTTTTTAGCATTACATATTCTTATTTTTACCAACATGAGAAAATACGGTATTAAAAAATTCTAAAAAAATTCTCAAAACTTTATGAGAAGAAAATAAACAATTTTTGTCTCTTACAG